TTGTCAGCAACAAGCAGGAAGGGCCAGCCAGATCCTGACTTACATCCTGTTCAAAACCCAGAGCATGCTCTTGTCAGCAACAAGCAGGAAGGGCCAGCCAGATCCTGACTTACATGCTGTTCAAAACCCAGAGCATGCTCTTGTCAGCAACAAGCAGGAAGGGCCAGCCAGATCCTGACTTACAGCCTGTTCAAAACCCAGAGCATGCTCTTGTCAGCAACAAGCAGGAAGGGCCAGCCAGATCCTGACTTACATTCTGTTCAAAACCCAGAGCATGCTCTTGTCAGCAACAAGCAGGAAGGGCCAGCCAGATCCTGACTTACAGCCTGTTCAAAACCCAGAGCATGCTCTTGTCAGCAACAAGCAGGAAGGGCCAGCCAGATCCTGACTTACATATGTTCAAAACCCAGAGGATGATCTTGTCAGCAACAAGCAGGAAGGGCCAGCCAGATCCTGACTTACATACTGTTCAAAACCCAGAGCATGCTCTTGTCAGCAACAAGCAGGAAGGGCCAGCCAGATCCCTGACTTACAGCCTGTTCAAAACCCAGAGCATGCTCTTGTCAGCAACAAGCAGGAAGGGCCAGCCAGATCCCCTGACTTACAGCCTGTTCAAAACCAAGAGCATGCTCTTGTCAGCAACAAGCAGGAAGGGCCAGCCAGATCCTGACTTACAGCCTGTTCAAAACCCAGAGCATGCTCTTGTCAGCAACAAGCAGGAAGGGCCAGCCAGATCCTAACTTACATACTGTTCAAAACCCAGACCATGCTCTTGTCAGCAACAAGCAGGAAGGGCCAGCCAGATCCTGACTTACATCCTGTTCAAAACCCAGAGCATGCTGTTGTCAGCAACAAGCAGGAAGGGCCAGCCAGATCCTGACTGACATGCTGTTCAAAACCCAGACCATGCTCTTGTCAGCAACAAGCAGGAAGGGCCAGCCAGATCCTGACTCACATCCTGTTCAAAACCCAGAGCATGCTCTTGTCAGCAACAAGCAGGAAGGGCCGGTCAGATCCTGACTCACCCACTGTTTATAACCCAAGGCATGGTCTTGTCAGCAACAAGCAGGAAAGGCCAGCTAGATCCTGACTCACCCACTGTTATAACAAAAGCATGATCCCATTAGCATCTACTTGAGGCCCACTGGATGTTGGCTTACCACCTGTTCATATATATTATTTTGTTCTACCACTGTACAGTCAAGTAAGGTCCACATACCACATGTGGAAAATAATTCAGTATCTTCTCAACCATCTTCCTCCACTCCCTCTTTTCTTTGAATAACTTCCAATCTGGAAAGACAGCTCTGTTATTCTAGATAATCAGCAATTTACCAGCATATAATTCAAAATGAAGCAACTACCTTTTAATTGCATATTCAATTGACAGAGCCACATTATTTTGCTGCACTGTAAGAAACAGCTGTAACAGTGTATCATCTGAAAAGGTGGCTGCTGTCTTCCTCAGCAGTTCACTGCAGTCACTTGTGGGATTTTGCATATCTGTCAAATGCAATTAATCTATTGTCAATGAGTAAATGAATTTGTTATACCTCGAAAATACACATGATCCTTGGGAGGATACTTTCTCTTGAAGAGTTGCTTGCCAAATTTCTCTTCAAACCTGGCAACTGACTCTTCTGGAGCTTTATTTGCAGCATCTTCAACATCCATTCCAGTATCAACCAGGTGTTTGATGGTTTGAGCATCAAGCATATCTGCTTTTGTAAACAGGACAATAACAGGAACTGTGCACAAAAAGGAAAGGTGAAATTCATGAGATTATCAATAGTTTACACACCTCTACCAGTCCCACACTCATCAAAGAAAGTTAACTCTGCTCTTGTAAATGGTCTGGCTTCATCATTAATTGGGATGCAGTACCTACACAGGGTGTATTCAGATGCACTTTAATGTCACAACTCAGTCACTCACCAAATCACATGCAGATGATCCTTGAGCTGTTTGTTGGTTGAACATTTTTGCAGAAACTCCTTGACTTTATCCAGCTCAGATGTTCTGCCTGCTTCAAAGCCACGTGAGTCATGAAAGACAAATGCTGTATTGCTCTCAAATATCATTTCATTCTCAATATCATGCTCCCCTCTCTGTCACACTTTCAGTGAAATGTAATAGAGAGTGTAGATCCACGTTACCTGTGCAGTTGGATCGAGCTTGGACGAGTCAATCTTTTTCACATCAACAATGATAGACGTTGAGGTTTACAGCATGGAATACCTCATGACCATCCCGACTGAAAATTTTCGGCTGTTCTGTTGTATTGCAAACTCGCTGGAGGATGGTTGTCTTCCCCGCATTGGCGCGGCCAATGATGAGGACGCGAAAACGCTTGGTGAGCCTTCGAACTTTGCGTGCTCGTTCCTGTTGTCTTTCTATATCCTCCGCGGCTTGGAATTCAACATTGGAAGGTGACATTTGTCGCTGGGATGCCTGAGATGGTGGTGGTGAAGAATCAAGATAAGTGCCGCAGTGGGCGGTGTATTGTTTGGTTATGCTGGGTCAGTCACTCGAGTGACGTCACTGACTCCGAGCTTCTCCCAGCTTTTCGTTCTTCCGTCGCAACTTTATTCCCTTGACTCAATTTCCAATATATACACACGTCATTGGCTCCCCAACTGAGCTTTTCAAGCCTCAATCTGCCCACGACGACCGTGAAAGTGCGCATGTTTGTTGCCAGATCTGAACATTAAGTTGCATTGTCCAAACGGCGGGTGAGTACAAACTCCAGGTTAAATTTCCGAAGTTTTGTTACAGTCTAGGTGAATGCCCCTCCGAGTCGCCATTTGAGCTCCAGGAGTGGCATGAGTTCACCACTTAGCACAGACAAGTCGCCTCGGCAACGGGCTTCTTTGCGCCACGTCGTTCCCCTTCATTGACCACGTAGGGGACTCGAACTGCGGTAACTGGAGGCTTGGAAGGTTGAACAGGCAGCTGTAACATGAACAGTATGAGACTAAATCCTACTTGGTACGATTATCAGCTACAATTCTATCGTGATGTACCATCCCCGTCTCAGCCAAGAATCGCCCCAGCCATCCTTTCACTGTTCTCCCCCATCTTCCCGTCTCACACCCTCTACTCATTTGTCCGTGAATCGCGATGTCCGTGTACGTGTCCACGTTCACTCGTTTCCAGAAGATGTATCTTCGATCTTGAGTATGCTCCCCACCATCAGGGCATAGGCTACATCAAAGTAAGCAATGTACATCCGCATCGAATGACACACCTGACATTGTCCTTACCAAAGTATGTTCGTCCTTTTGTTCATTGCCATCACGGCTAGTGAGTCGTTCTATCGTCCAACAGAAAGCTATCCCCAGAGAATTATCAGAACTACGCCGCACAACCCCAAGATGTGATTGTATACTTGCCTTTCCTCTCCTTGGACGGGGTTGCTACCACTTGGGCCAGCAAGTTCACAACGAGACTTTGTTAGTGTACAGTTAACGGCTTTGCCCCGGTTTCAGGCATTCAAAGTATCCACGGCCAGAGAGCGTTTGCACCATCGAAGAGCACCGGTGAGCAGGAAATGACGCTTCGCTTCATAACCCAACTTCTACACGTTCGAAGCACCTGTCTCTGGGATGCCGCAGGAATACCCCTGCGATGCAAACTCGAACGGACGTGAATCCGGACAGAGCTGGGCGCTGCCATTCCTGGGTTTTAAGGAGTCGGAGTGGTTCCGTTCGGTGAAACGTTGAAAGCAGTATTCAATCGGGTCGTCCTTTGCCTTCGTTCTAGAATAGGATACAGCAAGTACATGAGTTACGACAGAAATAGTCACAAACGAGAATGACTACCATTCACAATGACTTTGCAATTTGAGTTCGAGCGGAAAAGGCTGTACGTGATTACACATGACCTTCCTGTCGAGTGGCAGGGATTGTAGGGCCGATCTGTGCAGGAAGGGTTTAGGGAAACGCGACGTAGGCATAGACAACGCACTGCGATTCCGACTCTTCCATCCAATTCATGTCCTAAATGGGAAGGTTTTGTAGTTCCAGTTTGCCGACGTCATGGCTGCAGTCCTTTCAACCAGTCTCAGACAAGGGTTTGTAGCTGGTGGGGTGGTTGCACCAAAATCGACGTTCCATTTAATGTTTCGCGTTGCTCTGAGAGAAAAGCCAAGATGAGTATACATGGTACTCGACCCACCTAACCCGTTCCGCACTAAGCAGCACCGCACGTCTACGTAGTTCTGGGCACTGATTTTGAAGCTGGCGGTGAAAAACCCTCGAATAAAAGTGGGTCGGTCCGTCCGTCTTGAACCGTGAGTAGCGCTTTTCTGGCAGCCTGAAAGGTAATTGATTGATAAATCAGATATGAAGTGCTCCAGTTGATGAGGGCTTGCCATCTCAGCACGTTGAACTGTCCGGACCATTGGTGTCGTGACCGTTGTCATAATCTTGAGTCTGTTGTTTTGGTTAGCTCACAGACAAGTGAGAAAGGAGATAACACACCCACCTCGACTTGAAACGTTGATGTCCTGCTCGGTTCTATGACAGGGTGATGAGATGCACGAGTTCGCCCCTTCTCGTTGAACACGTCATTTTGGTAAAATACTTCAAAAGGGCGTAGGCCCTTACAAACGAGGAACCCACAATCTAGGCCGATCATGGGCGTCGAGTTGTACAACCCTTCTGCCGTCAGGATTTGTCGCGACTGATTATCAGGGAGTGTGTAAGAGTTGAAGTGGGGACGATTCTCTTTATATCTAGAATGATCAGCTTTGTACGAGGTAAAAAGCTCGAGAAGAACTCACAAGCAGTGCGTACAGAGTGAAGGTACTAGTCTGGATGAGCGCCAGGCTGGCAGCGCCTAACACGTAACAAGTTGCTGCCACGGCTTATGGGAAGGGAAAGCCTGCTTTTTTCGCGTAGACTATCGATTCCTCACTGGGCAGAAACCTACTATTCCCAACATGTCTTAGAATACAGGAAAGGGTTCTCGGTTTTGAACCTGGGCCCCCACAAACATTGTCACTCTGGAGGAGATGACACCGAAGAGTGCATTGCTGGCGGTCTCGATGTCGGCGAGACGCACAACTTCACTTTTCGATTCATAATCAGATCAAGAAGTTTCCGTAAAACCGTAAGACTTACATGACACCAGTTTCACACTTGCCATTTGAACCGAGGGCCAACTTTGGTGAGGGAAGGGTATGTCCCGCCCAGTGGTGAAGAAGTCAGATGGTGGTGAACGCCACGATGTCCTTAACGGCAAGAACAGTCAGCTTCGGAAAAGGGGCGAAGCACAAGAAACAACTCACCCTGAAGGGCGCAAGATCGAAATCTCCACACTTGAAGCCACACGTCGCTGTCTACAAAGCCGCAGGCTCATAAAGATCCTTCAACCCATACTCCCCCTTCCCAAAAATCTCTCGAAGCCAGAAATACCGTTGCTGATCGACATATTCACGAAAGTCATGGAGGCCCATGAAGTTTGAGAGTAGGAGCTATGAGCCTAGCCAGGGGCCGTCCTTATTGAGGCTGAGAAGGTGCGAAAGAGGCCTTCGCCGACGAGGCCCAAGACGTAGTGGCAGTATAGGTCGTATTCAGAGATGGTGGAGAGGTAGATGGAGCCAGTAATGGCTGCTTTGTAGGCGTAGTCGGCCATCCTGGTATCAGTTTTTCAGAATCCAAAGTTGAACTCGACGAAGTTGGGGTCGAAGATGAACTCGAGAAGGCAGCCACACCACAGTAGCAGGAGTGAATGACACCCTTGGAGTGGAAGTCGACGTCGAAGAATCCAAAGAGGGAACAACGCCCAAACCATGCACGATACACTCCTGCAACGGCTTAACGGACGAACATACTTCACATCCCTCTCGTTCGCATCCGCCGTCCGAGATTGGGCTTGAGAAGCACAACAAAACGGTGCTTCCCAAATCCGAGGGAATATGTGCGTATTTCGTGGCGTAGAGGCTGTGTCCCACTTTTTGAATCTCAACTCCCTTTCACGTCATTCATGCCCACGGAAACCCTGGCATTCTCCTGACTAGAAACCTAATATAAAGCACAACGTCCTCAGGCACGCGGTTCGCCCACCCAGCATCGAGCACGTCGATTCTAACAGAGGAAGGACTTCGCGTGGCGATCACGCGGAAATGACGAGGCAAAGTTTATGTTGTCCAAGGAGTAGAGGGAGGTTTGGATGAGGGTTTGGGTGAAGGGTCGATAAAAATTGAAGTGGAAAAGAGGCAGTTGAGGCGGAAGACGCGGGAATCGAAGTGGAATGGGGGATTGAAGCGGAAGGAAAACTTTGGATGATTGGCCGGGACGGGAGTCCCTCAGCCATGTGTCTTCTTGCATTCCCCATTTTCGGTCCCTGGTCGTCACTCTGCGTGATTTGGCCCAAGATGGGCTACGTCTTCGTGCGGCTTTGGCTGGAGAAATCGAGGTCGCGTCCTAGGCTCTCCCTCTACACCAGCATCCCTGCGTGCAGACAACTTCCTTGAACAGCTGCATGGTGTCGAAGTAGAGGCGGTTGAAACCTCACTGAATTCTCGACAAGGTGCTTTGATTTGATTCCCATATTATGACTGGCACTAGGTCGGCCATGTAAACTCGGATGGCGGGATTGGGATCTCAAGGGGCGAGTACAAATGAGGGTCGAAGCCATGCGATTATGGTGGGTTTATGTGGGGGGTGTTGCATAAGTGCTTCAATGAGTTGTGACGTAAGTACTGGTTGTGTACGAAGACTTGTATGTGTTTCCAGAGTGGTGGCCGGTGAATAGGCCTTTAGCAGGACTTGATCGTTAAACGTTACAGAGGGAAGCAATTTTACATTGGAAGAAAGAAGTCCAAAATTCGAGAGGCGTACCTTTGTCACAAAGCTGTTTGTGGTGCAACTCAAGGCCATGATGTTAGACGAACTTGAGGAGTGGATGATAAGGAGAAATGAGTCGTAATGTTTGCCGTATGTTTGTTGATTGAGTTGTCTAAAACTGTAACAGACGTGACCTCAATATCACGCGTCTACTGATAACGGTTCCAATCCTCTCGTCTAAGCGCTTACGCGCTCGGCCTCCGTCGGCCCATTCTCAACACCTACGGTTTGATATCTCTATGGACACTTACTGCTCCCTGCTCCCATTACCTATCACCTGCCTATCTCATTTGTTATCCCTGTGTGTTATCCCCATCGTTGTCCTACCCCTTGCCCTACCTACTGCCGTATATAAGAACAGACTGTAACTCGTAGTTACCCCAGTGAATACCAGAGTCTTAACCAGTCTTTCGTGTTCGCTCTTGCTCTCAGTGTGCCAGCTCCAAACTACAGTCACCTTCCGTCACCGTAGTCACAGATCTGTCACAAAAACGTTCACCTGTTCACTACCACCATAGGTCCAAACGATGCCTTCTTCGCCGTGAACGTGGAATTTCAGCAAGAAGGTATTGCGCGTGCTCGCCGATCAAAGCGTTGATTCTTGTCCTTTCCTAAATTCCTTCATCATTTACGAGTCGGTAATGTTTCGCCTGGCCAAATTCCCTTTGATTCATTCCATCCCAGTACGCTTTTCAACGAAATAAAATTCGCTCATTAAGTGGCGCTTAACGTTAACCTTCAACAGCTTAGGTTCAATCCCAATGAATGGGTGGTAGTCGACGAGCGTACTCCGTACCCAGATCTGCCAGTACTCTCCTCCCGGTGTAGACAACCTTATCTCCGGAAGTTTGGGGGTACGAGATACCCACCAGCAGGGATGACGGCTGCTGAAATTCTGGACGTTTCTAACGAGAAGAAGTACTGGCGCTCAATTTCTCAGGTTAGAGCATATTTGGAGTACGTGGTTCTGGCGAAGCAAGACGAGGAGGGGATGACTTGGCACCTTGATCCTGATGAAGAACTTCACCCTGGCTCTGACGGGAACGGGAAAGGTAGCCAACACAGGGTGCGTGTATTGATTTATATGTTGCAACTTACTGATCATATGGTATGTCTAGGAATGAATCAACGTTGCTCTGTTAAAACGCACAGAAGCAAGACGAAGACGGGCTGACTTAGCATCTTTATCCTGATGAAGGAATTCACCCTGGTTTGGACAGGAACTGGCAAGGCGATAGAATGACTCCAGAGGAAATCGATACTCTTGCTTCCCAGTTGCAATCTAATCAAGCCAAGATAGCGGTTATGCCAACCGTCGTCGGGTCGATAGCCGGTGACTAGTATCGCAACGAGTTCTGGCTACTTTGGAGGGCGCCTCCCACAACCGTTCTCGAGCGTGTCGGACTTTGTCGAGTACCATCGACAATTTTTGGGCCATGATATTCCGTTTTGCTTGGTTGAAGACATGCTCGCTGCCTTACCTCGCGACATGGCCATGTGTTTTGTCTACGGTGGCTTCTTCCCAAACAATTTTTTGTGGCTCGCGATCATTGATTGGGCGACGCCCTCGCGCTTGCTCACCTGTACAGGGGGCCTGCAGACAGGGGGACATAAGACCAGTGTTCGAGCTCAATAACATCAGCCTGTATTTAACTAACTTCATGATCAGCTCTTTTTGCTCCCCAAGCGAGTCGAGATGAAAGGCTCGCTTTACGATTTCTCTCACTTCTTGACTCCAGTCCTTTCAAGTTGTTTGAACGGCATAACGTATTCATCAGACCCACAACACCCTCCAGTGGTGAGGAAAAGTTCATGGGAGTATATCTGTCAGAAACAGATGGTCCAATCACAATTAGTCGTGATTGGTGTCACTCCATCGGTCAGGGCGCTCCTTACTTGATCAAGCCTCACGACTAGAAAGGATCGCAACACACCACAACCAAATCCTCGCCGAACTCGAGACTGAGATGGCAATCGCTCAGGAAGCCTTGAAAACTATGATGCAGCAGCGAAATGATACACACGCCCTGTTGGCGCCCTTGAGCAGCACTGTCGACGCAGGTGAAGCTCTCTTTGATAACGTTGACGAACAAATGGTTGACGTAGAATGCGATTTGTACTCGCTGCAAGGTGGATCAGAGAAGCAGATCTCAAGCGCAAGCATCACGGATCATAGCGAAACTTTGTACGAAATCAAACCTGAAATCGAGGAAGGCCAACTAGAGCTGCGACGGCCCTTGAAGCAACGTAAAGATGTTTCAGAGCAGTTGGATCTCCATCGTGACCTACTCTCGCCCATACGCAAGGTTCCCCCAGAGATCATTTGTATGATATTCTTACTCTGAGCCTCTGACAGCCATTTTCTCCAATCCCCAACTCATGTCTCTTCGAGTGTTCTGACTGGCGTTTGTGTTGCTTGGAAGAATATTGCACTCGGTATGCCCGAATTATGGTCCTTCATACTGGTCGAGATACGGAAAGGGAAGTTTTACCCTGACAAACGGACCATTGGAAGGTGGATTGAGCGCTCTGGCTCCTCCGCGCTTGCTTTCTCTATTGAAGAGAGAGATTCATCTTTTCACAGCAGCCATGCAGGAGTTGATCAGATTCCGCCCACCATGCCACACGACAATACGAACTCTGAGCACCCCGCTGGATCACCAGTTGCGTCCATGCTCGACCCCTTCAGTCCCCATTACTCTCGATGGCAGAGAGTCCGTCTGAGATACAGCGATGCATCGCCTGGTACAGTTGTTACTGCCTTGCCATTGCCCATAAACACGACGTATCCTTTACTTGAAGAGGTATACTTGGACAAAGGTTACTGGTGGGCACAAGAAGATCTAGACTGCATCAAATCCATGATGGTCTCCGCACCACGGCTCCATTCCGTTACCTGGCTAAGCGAGAAATCATACAAAATGCTTGCATTTCCATGGAAGCAGCTCACACACTTCTTGCAGGGCCCCATTGCCACTATGAACGAGGGTCTTCGTGTCCTAGCGATCTGTCCTCATCTCAAATCCCTGGAGCTGACGCTCTTTCTTCCCATGTTTCCCATCGACGACGACGACGATCCATTTGTCCACAACACTTTAGAACGCCTACATCTACGTACTGCAGGTAACCTGGCAGTCCTTTTCGACAAAGTCACTCTACCAGCTTTAAAGGATCTATCGCTTTCCGAATTACATGGAGCCTCACCCAACCCCCCTATACAGCTTGGCCGGTGGCCACAATCCCAGTTCCTTGCATTCCTTCTACGTTCAGGTTGCACCATCAAGCAATTCATCATTCAGGAGTGGGATATTTCAGCAGAAGAGATAGCGGAGTGCCTCGTACATCCGCAGATATCGAAGTCATTGGATTCGTTGTCTATCACGGAATATCACCAAAAGCATCTGTGCATGACGGATGGGGTTCTTAGGCTGTTGACGTATTCCCCATCGGTTATCTTGTCAGAAAACGTTCTGGGTGGTGGGGACGACCAACTGATCGAGGACGCCCCATCGGAGACTATCCGTCCGAATCTCACGACCATCAAGCTGTGGGATGCATTTCCGCCCATGATGGAAAGGTCGCAGATATGGTAGAGTCGAGATGGTTATCCAGGACCAAAGGTTGCCCCATCGTGCAACTCAGGACGGCGGCAATAGGGTTTTTCGCTGAGGCATGTCATACGGAGGATTGGACGCGGTTGGAGGCGCTGAACGTAGACAGGTCCGGGATCACACATGTTCGACTGTGTGATGGTGGGGTCAATTTTTGTTATCTATACATGCCAAGATGCAGTCGCCCTGATTGACACTGACCAACGCCTGAGCTTGGATAGCATGTGGCGAATACAAGAATTCCTGTTCATGGATGATCTTTAAATTGTCGAGTGCGATGGTGCTGGGAGATTTAGCGCGTGTTTGAGCTCATTGACATCAATCTGTAATTATTCAACGTTATTCAACTCCATAGTCAGCTCTTTTTGCTCACCAGGAGTCCCCAAGCGATTCGAGATGAAAGGCTCGCCTGATGATTTCTTTCACTTTTCGATTGTCCGCAAGAATGGTTTTTACAAAACTACGACTTCGGTCCTTCCAGGGTCTCGTTGTTAGGCTACTAGAACGTCATAATGCATTCCTCCAACTCACCACACCCCTCAGTGGTGGACATGGAAGTGGTTTTGAAGTAGTTGGCCCAGGGTTGGCCATCTCCGCTTCCAGTCACGCGTACGAAAGTCACAATCGGTCGTGACCAGTATCAGAGGACACATCTCTGAGTCAATTTCGACTTCGACGATGATTTGGTCAATTTCTCAGGAAGCCTTGAAAACTAGGATGAAGCAGCGAAACGAAGCACACGCCCTGTTGGCGTCCTTGAGCAGCCTTGTCTTGGGGCAATGTCCAAACATTTTGGATTTCCATCGTGACGAACTCTCGCCCATACGTAGGCTCCCCCCAGAGATCATTCGTATCATATTCCTCTTCTGGGCCTCCGACAGGCATTTTTTTCAATCCCCCACTTGTGTCTCTCCAAGTGTTTTGACTGGCGTTTGTGTTTCCTGGAGGAATATTGCATTCGGTATGCCCGAATTATGGTCCTTGATAGTGGTCGAGATACGGAATGGGAAGTTTTACCCTGACAAACGGACCATTGAAAAGTGGATCAAGCGCTCTGGCTCCTACGCGCTTTCTTTCTCTATTGAAGAAAGAGACCCATTGTTTCACAGCAACCTTACAGTACGACTTGGTCCTGTCCTGCGCACCCTGCTATATGGCGATACAAACCCTGACCACTCCGCTGAATCACCAGTCGCGTCCATGCTCAATCTCTTCATTCCCCATCACTTTCGATGGCAAAAAATCCTTCTGAGATACAAAAATGCATGGAATGGGAAAGTTGGGTTCGCTTCCCTCCCCAGGAACGCCACGTATCCTTTACTTGAGGAGGTACACTTATATGAAAATCATTCCTTGTGGGCACTGGAAGATGTGGACCGCATTAAATCCATGATGATCTCCGCACCACGGCTCCATTCCATCAGCTGGCTGAGCCAGAAATCATACGCGACGCTCGCCTTTCCCTGGGAGCAGCTCACACACTTCACGCTGGGCTCTCCCACCGTTGTGGACAAAGGCCTATGTATCCTTGCGACCTGCCCTCATCTCAAATCCCTGGAACTGATGCTCCTTCCCATGTTCCCCGTCTCTAACGACGGTGACCCATTTGTCCACAACACTTTACAACACCTTCATCTAAGTGCTGTAGGTAACTTGGCAGCTTTCTTTGACAAAGTCACTTTACCAGCTTTGAAGAATCTATCGCTCTCCGAATTACATGGAACCGCACCCGACCCCCCTATACACCTGGGCCGCTGGCCACAATCCCAGTTCCTCGCATTCCTCCTACGTTCAGGTTGCAACATCGAGCAATTCATCATTGATGAGTGTGATATCTCCGCAGAAGATTTAGCAGAGTGCCTCGCACATCCGCAGATATCAAAATCATTGGGTTCGTTGTCTATCATGGAAGGTCACCTAAAGAATCTGTGCGTGACGGATGAGGTGCTTAGGCGGTTGACGTATACCCCATCGGAGACCATCTGTCCAAATCTCACGGCCATCAAGCTGTGGGGATGCATTTCCGCCCAGGATGGAAAGGTCGCGGATATGGTTGAGTCGAGGTGGTTATTCAGGACCGAGGGATGCCCCATCATGCAACTGAGGACGGCAGTAATAGGGTTTTCCCCTGGCGCATGTCATACGGAGGATTGGAGTCGGTTGGTGGCGTTGAACATAAAGAGGTTCGGGATCACACATAGTCAACTGTGATGGTGGGGTCAAAGTTCGTTTTCTATGCATACCACGGGAGTTATACCCTCGCAATGTGAAGGACATTCATATCTACGTTGACAAGTGAGCATGATTTTTGTGCTAAAACCAATACAATCCCAGCCCATCAACGAACGACATCTTGAGTAACTCTTCTACCAAGCCAGCATCTACCAGATCGACACAATGTAGAGCCCTGAGCGCCGATAGCCTTTGCCCATCACAAACATCTTTCATTTATGTTGATGTTGCTCTCCGGCCAAATAACAACATCGCTATGGTTGTGCTTGAAAAAGAGCATCCAAGGACACACCATTGATGACGTCTTCCACAAAATCGTTTCGTTTAGAGAAACGGAATGTCCATACATTTGCCCCGATGGGTGGTTCTGCTGCCCGTGTCCTCATTCCAGTGGGCGATGCGGACCGCAGTGGAAGTGGATGTGTGGAACGGGAAGGGAGAGGGCCTAAATGAGGGTTTGAACGTGGGTATTCATCACACCAACCGGCCTTGCACTGATAGAATGAGCGAAGGGACACGTTTAATGGAAACTTGGACTTGCTGTGGTCCATTGTCTGGATATACATGACGTTGTAAGATTTCGGGTGAGGGAACTTGATTGACGACCGTAGAACCGAACGACTGTGAGGGAGAGAGGGACAGCTGGGTGGGATATAACAACGGCCGAAATCTAGGGGGAGAGGGGTGATGCTTGCAGCCTCCATTTTCATTCAATCGCCCTTGACTGACCAAATCACCATCGTTACAGTTGTCCTAGAAGTGCCTGTCTTAACTCTGGTGGCATTTATGTCCTTGATGGAGAGGAGAGGGTCGATTTGTAGGTGTTCTCGATGGCAGGTTTGGAGTAGGGCGACCCGATACCCAAGCTCAAACTGTGAACGAGTACACTCCTTCCAAGGACCCACAAGAAGCGAGGGTGCTGGCAGTCGACAAACGAAAGTTCGCAAAAATATTGCCCCGGTATGATGATTAGGTGACGATGCTCGAGGAGAAGCTGGTCAATTCGATAGTAGAGGTTGTTGATGGCTGAGATTCGATTTTTGGCTTGGGTGGCCAAAGCCCAGACAGATGTGGGGGAGAGGGGTAAAGCCAGCTGGCATGCGGTCATAGCCTAGGGAACCTATAAGAGATGATGCATGCAATCTCTACGTCAGTTCGTCACCGCCCTTGACTGATCAGTCGTCCTGGGGAATGCTTTTGTCCGCCGCCGTTTGTCCACAGTGGATTTCAAGATCCCTGCCCGGTGATTACGCTCGAGGAGCTGGTCGATCTGCAGAGACTCTTGATGGTTGGGACTGGGTTTTGGCTTGGCTGGCCTAACTGACGAACGAGAGGCAGTCGCGGAGGAGAGGCAGCGGGGCATACGATCGTGGTTAAGATCTTTGGAGAGAATCCGTCATGATGTAACAGTTGTTCCAGAAAGCATTGTCTGATGTATGAACAAGCGACTATGCCTCGAAAAAAATGGCTCCTTGGTCCAATAGGTTTCAGCGTTGGATAAAGCCCGCCCCGATTGGCATTGGCCACCAACGCCTGAACTTGGACAACTTGTGGCGAATTCAAGAGTTCCTCCTGTTCATGGATTCTGATCGAGTACGATCATGTTGCTCCGTCGACTCGCTGAAGGAGCACCGCCTTTCAAGGACATCTTGAGGTAGAAGGTTTGGCGCGATAGTCACGAGTTCAACCTGCGAGCGTGGTGGTGGTATTGGGTAGGGCCCCTCAGGCTGGGTGATGAGGACAGTCGCGGACGAATACGCTCCTGTTCAACGTCTGCTCCTCGACCTTCAGGTCCAGAGTGCGTCGCGCGCTCGCTGTATGACCTTAGATCCTGCCTATCCAGAGACTACTAAAATTATTCAGCTCAACGCGCATTACAAGCCTATAAGTTAACCAATCCAATAGAATATGTAAGTGGGGGTAGTTCATCAAAGCACAGTGGGGAACCAACATAAAACTTCCTCAACTCAGTCATAGTACTCCACCACCCCACCAGCACCCAAACTCCCCCTCCGAACCTTCTCCCCTTTAGCACGGAGTATATCCTCAATCGTAGGATTCTTCCCTTCCTCAGTGCCGAATTTGAACCAGCCCAGGTGGTCCGCTATCAGATGCCTACAACGTTCCCCGTTGTGAGTCAGGACCCCAATCTCAAGAAAAAAGAAGAAACCCACCGATTCTTACACCCCGGACATTCAACCAACACAATACCGCGCTCATAGCTGCGTTTTGTGAATTGGTGGGTTGAGCGTTCGCCGCATCCCTCAACTGTACATGTGAATGTCATGGAGAGTCGGGGTTCGAGTTTTTCGGGGAGGGGTTGGGAAGAGGTGGTTGTTAATGGAGAAGAGGAGGAGGAGGGTGAGGAAGAAGAAGAAGAGGCAGAGGCATCCTCTGATATTGGCTCTGTATGTGGCAGAGATGTGGTGTACGGTCTGCGAGCGAGAGGTATGGGAAGTCTTCTGGCTGTTGAAAAAGCTGCGGGTCGCAGCTGAAAAGAGATGGATGGGTGGTGTGGAACCATGAGGCTGCGTAGTGGTGGTAGGATGCCCAAGTTTTTGAAGAGCCTTGACGGGAGCATGTTGTTGAGAAGCAAGAGACGCAAAAACATGTACAATTGTTGCTTGATCACTTTCCCCAGGGCTTGTCAAACTGGCAAATGTTCTGGCGTTCGTAAATAGCACGTAAAAGTACACGTAGTAAAGACATGATAAGATAATCAGATCGTCGCAAGTCAATGGTCTATGTCGTGTGCTACAAGGAAAGGATAATAGGTCAAACGAAAAGTGAGGAAGTTGTGCTTGAGGGGGGCACGTTGTCCGTATAAGAAAAGATGTCGTCCATAGCTACGTAGGAGCTAAATCGTCCACAGCTCAATGGTGAGGGATAGGTATGCGCTCCAACGGAGCTCAACCAGCCTGATAAACAGCAGGCCCAGCAACGATATGCCGATTGATGAACGAAATATTGAACGGCGTTACGAAGATATCTTCATCCGTTATCGCAATGAACCTTTTATATATACTCATCAGCCACTCAATTCGATACGGCAAAGGGAGGTACGTGCATGGTAGCATTAACAATAGGCGACGACCCATTCCCGAAAACGGTCCCATTCGGCTGGAACGTCATTCCCGTCTGATTGACGATGTTTTCAAGGACGGTGTAGGTGGTGTTGAGTTGCGATATCCAGGCTACGAACTATACCACATTCCATTCGTCAGTCCCACGCGCAAGTAATTTAAGGATGGATGGAAGAAGACATAAAACCAACGCCAAACCTCACCTGAGGCAGACCAGCAGTCGTATTCGTAACGAAACTACTATTGGGGCCTATCGCTTGACCGGGTAAATCCCAAGTAAGATTGACCTGTCGTCCGGGGAAGGAGAGGGGAATGGAGCGGTTATGCGTGATGGCGGGGTTGGTGTTGTTGTCTGGGATGGAGGTGTTGACGAAGGGTGTTGGGTCGGGGTTGTTCTGTGTGGAAGAATGGGTGAGTAGGGAGGTCGAGGGGTGAAGGAAGTAAAACGGAAAATGGAAGGACAAAAACGCACAACGACATTCAACGCCGGAAAATTCTGAAACTCAATCACCGGATTCCCAGCTGGACAACTTATAATCAAAGGCGCCAACAGCGTCCACATCATGCTCTGCGTAATCGCCGTTTGAAAGTCGACAGGAACGGGGAAGAGGCCTTCGTACTGGCGGAATATCATTTGTTCGCGGGAGGAGGCTGTTAGTGTTTGAGCGAGGAGTTGGGCGGCTGCGCGCGAGTCGAGGTGTTCGATGAAGCCTAGGATACCGGATTCGCCTATTGCTGCTATCTGGAGGGGGAGGGGTCGGTGGGGAAGAGGGGAAGGGAGGGAGGCACGAACCTGTTGGCTGAAGTTGATGAATTCGCGGACGTCTTCGAATGGGAATTGATAAGTGCACTGATTGGCTGCTTGTTCTGTATCGTAACGTTTAGGCCTCAATGCTGCTGGGAGTTATGGGACGAGGTTACCCCACCTCCGATCATGTTTGAGAGCAGAGTAGCATGCGACAGTTTTTGATCAGCTAAGAACTGGATGAGGAATCTGTCCGCTTCGAAGATCTGTACGTCCTCGAATTCTTGAACTGTGAAAGTTGCGAGGCCAAAGTGGAAGAGGTCGAGTTCGAGGAGCTGTTGGTTCAATGCGAGGTTCTGTGGCGTTGAACGTCAGTAGGGATGGACGAGAGATGAGATGAGCAAGCCAGACGTACGAGGGACTGGAAATCAAAGTCGCTCAGGGGATGATAGAACGGAGGTGTAGAGTTGGTTCCGAGACCACCGGAAGGTTGGAAGTTGAGTGCTGTGGTGGTAGTAGTCGGGATTGTCGTCGTGGGCCAGGCAACAGCCAACCCAGCCAGGGCAGCAGCAGCGAGGGGGATCCACATTGTTCAAAGTGGGTGTTGAGCTTGCTGCTCATTTTGCATATTCAACTTTAAAGGGGACCGTGGAGCGATAGTCAATACAGAGTCGGGGAATGAATTGACTGGTGAGACAACGTATACTGTACCGGCGGGGAGACTGGCATTATCCGCGCACATATAGAATTGTTATGATAGAATTGGCTTGGAGGACGTCAGACGAGGATGTAAGACTCCGGGATGTGAAGCGTACCATTAGATAATCTGACGACATTTATCGATTGGTTTCAGCCAAGTGTCTTTCTCATCGTCGTCGCGTCAAGGCGCGTCGCGTCCACAACACCCGTCCGAAAATCCCCCCTGTGGTGCTCCCTATGTCTTCATTTTCTCTGCCAACAATCGTGGGTTGGAAACCTGAGGGCGTCTCACGACGGGTGTTTCCCAAATTCCCACTGGCCAGTCTGGCTTTGATCCTTCAAAGCATCTCAAAATGGTTGAACGTCGACTGATTAGCCCATCGGCGAAGCAAAGGAGCTTGGGCCGGGCATTCGGATGAAAGTAATCGTCCAGGAAGGGAACACGCTGCGGC